TAGCATGCTTTGTACGCTTGCGGTGCTTACTCTCTGAACATAACATATCCTTTTATGCTTAAGTTTGATGTGAGAATTTCGTTCAATAGCACAGAATTGTCTTATGTCAATGGCCTACTCGTCATCCCCATTAGAAAGAGAAAATCTACTTTCAAATAACCTTGTTAATTATTAACATCAAAGTAAAGGTTCCACAAAACCCACTTTGGCGTAACATTAGAAGGCTCTTCAACGGGTACATTATTGCTCGTTAGGTTTTTAGGACGATGAACGTAGATGCCCCTAAATCCCAACATCTGTCAGTACTTACATCGCTCACATGTACTCTGGCGATAAATATTTTATATGCAGGTAATTTTACATAACATTTATGTATATTATTATTTAGTTACATACAACCACTGTTGGAATATGCTTATGTCATCTGTACCAATTTCAAGAGAGATATCTAAACTAAAACACCATTAAAAATGTACAGGCAAGGGTTATAAAAATGGTCAGAAGACACGGTAAAAATATCTTAAACTAATTCTTCTTAAAGACGGAAAGAGGATATGTAATAGAAACTTACAATTTGTGGCTATTGTAATGTTAAACACATTAAGAATATATGTAAAACATATTCGAGGACATGCACTGACAGAATGTTATCCTGTCCTCTAAATTCATTTAGAATTTAAAAAAAAAATAGATAATTTTATTTTTATCATAAGCATTTAGATGTTAGTGTGTTTACTAAATAATAATCAAAAGTAGATAATATTTCATTTATATATTAATTAACAACAGCGATACGTTATACCGAATCCGCTAATAAATTATTGATTCCGATAATTATGACGTCAACTAACGGTGAAACCCTATTTTGATTCAGTTGTTTCAATATCGCGCTAGAAGGTTTCCTCGGAAGGGAAACGAACCGTAATAGCGAATCCAATTCAAATAAATAATTCCATTTGCGTGGTGCTTGCAAGTCATACAACAAACTATTACAACAAGTGCTCCTAATTTTTTATAAAAATTATTACATCAATAGCTAAAGCTAATAAAAGTATTAATATGTATTTAAGAAATCTACGGGATAAATGATCTGAATTTCAAACTTTGTTTACAATTGTATTTCGTTTTACTGAAATTAATCGTTAATATTAAAAGTGTAGACTGTAGGCTGGACGAGGTCAGTTTAAATTAAAGTTGGCTAATATTTGTATTTAATTTAATATTCCATCAGCTGTTCCTCGGAAAAACATCATGTTAAGTTGACTTTATATATATCACAGGGGGCAAACGCAGTGGCTCACCTGATGTTAAGTGATACCGCCGCCCATGGACACTCACATTGCCAGAAGGCTCGCAAGTGCATTGCCGGTCTAGTGGTTAAGAACAACTAAATTTGTGCGTTCGAATCCCAGCTGTACACTTTTTTTTCTGAATCCGTGGAAAAACATCGTATGTCAAATCATATCGGAATATCTTATGGTAGCATTCATAGACGAGACAGTACTGAGAGCCATAAACAATTGTAGACAGCGACGTTACTTGGTACTTACTTGGCATTAAAAGTTAAATAAAACTGACCAATAAAATTAACATCAAGCACATAATATATATTATGTTCATAGTCACAGGATTATTAATTTCATCATGTTAAGTGGCACCGAACTAACCTCCGATAATTTCCGGGCATTACATGCCTATGAGGGATCTAATGTGAATAGGTTGCTATGGTAATGAAGTGCTGCGCTTTTAAGCTCTACAGGTTCATAGTTGTACTGAGTATAGTAGTAGTAAGTATTAAAAGGATGTATTCATGCCTTTTTAAATAAATTTAAACTTATTGTTATTCGTATAACTTTATTTTAATTAACACAGTATAGCACTTCTAGCACTTTCCCCATACTGTTATTATAATTGTTTTCTTACCTAAGTTGTTCCGAAGTAATTAGTTTGCAACGTTGCCTTTCAAACTATTAGACTAGCGTATTATTTTGTTATTTAAATGCAGTAAGGTGTTAAAATTATAAATAGTATGCCTTCTTACTTAATCAGTATTCGTCTAGTACGAGTAGCTTCGGCGTGAGACTCTCATCCCTGAGTTCGTACGTTCGAACCTTGGCTGTGCACCGATGTTCTTTCTTTGTGCAAGCGAGTGTTAAATACACTCGCTCGTAAGGTTAAGGAAAACATTGTAAGGAACCAAGAATGTCTCAAACTGGGTATTTTATTATATATGGTTTTAAGTAATTAGTTTATTTAAAGTATGCTATATCTCTTATGTTATAAATATACCATAATTTTGTTTTTGTTTAAGTGCATATAATCTTATTTTACCTTCCAGAATTTCCTCAACAATTATAATAATGTCAGTTTCGCTAATAAATAATACCGTTTGAAATTCAGTGTCTATCACATCTATAGGAAGCAGGATTGCAACTCGGTAATTAGGTTAATTGCCAATCATTCGCACTATACACCTGCTAAGTACCATTACGGATTTACTCGTTATATTTTTATTGTTGGATTTAATTATATCAATAAATTTACGTATGAATTAAGAGGAGATTCACTTAAGGAAGATATAATTAAAGTTTTTAAAAATATAATTTGTCTCATTAAGTTCAAGCAATAAAATAGAAATGTGTAATTTTAAATTCATAATTCGACTTTTTGACTAGCGTCCGAGTCAAAAAATTTACTTTAAATTTGTTGTTGGATGTTTCTCTGGTGATCTATAAAAAATCATGGAATATCTTTACACCACACTGTTTTATATAATAAAAGATTCATTCTTAATTTATACGTGAGAATTAATTAAATTGTTCATTATTACTACGACTCATGGTCACACGCTCATGATGTTTGATTAAGTAAGAGAATTTCGAAAAGTCGATAGGCATTTGGACAGACTTCAAGGTAAATTGTGACCATATTTATAATACGTAGGTATGTTACACCGATTAATTAAAGACACAAAATACACAGAAAAACCAAACTTCTACCACAATAATAGAGTATCACAAAATTTCGCATTATTAAATACCCTTTTCTAGGGATATTAAGGGCTTATAAGGGTCGGGAACAATGAAGGACAATAAACACGATTTTCATACATTATTAGGTATTATAGTAAAAATTAATATCATTCAAGGGTTAAATGTTTCGGAGGAAACAATACAAAATATTATTTAAGATCCAGTAACGATTCAAGGCCGTCTTAATTGTAATACTATATATTATCTCAGAGGAAACTCCGTTAATTTATGTGTTATTAAAATTACACAGGAAATTGGGTATGAAATAAAACACAAAGTTGTAACACTTAAAACATTTTATTTACAAAAGTATTCACAGTTTTGAACTTAATACTATTATATTATCTATTAATAATTAAGACGCATAATTCGTAAATACATTTTACATTTTAGTACAGACTCTACTATTTACAAGTAAACTAGAGATAGTATGGAATAAGAAACAGTTTACTTTCATAACCGATTCTTACATTTAACTATTCGATAACGGAGCGACAATGTCCTATTAATTTCCAAAGCAAATCAAGGAAGACCAATAGTTAATTACGCCTCGTAATCTGTAAGGTATAACATAGAAATTGCCACTATACGTTATATCACGTTGAATCGGTTTAATTTACAATTACATTCAGCGATTTTTTAGTCAACAAAACTGTTCACTAGATTTAAGCGAGTTAGTTTCGTTGTTCAAGTATTACAAAAGACATCCAATCAAATGTTTTCGACAGATCAAAGCGGACAGAAATATTAAAAAAGTTCATTGAAACTTTGACATATTCGACTACGTTTCAAAAGAGAAAATACAGATAACAAAAGTAATATAATCTGTGGAAGCTTCTAAATTATTTCCGGTACAATATTCATAACACCATTATACTCTCGTGCTTCATCGTGAAAACCTAATAAAAATTATTTTCATTGGATAAAATATTCACCCTTGAAATGAGTCAATCAGTTACAGATTTAAAATCATTTCATCAGATTTCAATATTCCCGAAACACAATTTTCACTTGTAATTAACTACCGGACAACATTTACATCAAATTTATCAAACCACATTCATTTACCAGTCAAACATAAACAGCAAACAGGCCAAATTGAATTAATTCATTTAAATTATTATGTACATAATTTGTTAGCTGATTTAGCAACAACAAAATGTCTTATAACAATAATAAACGAGTATAATTTAATTGAATATAAACAACGAATTGATATGCTTGCTAAAAACTATACCAATTTAAATAGTGCGAATTCCCAATTCAAACATTGAATAATTGTTTGATCCTAATCATTTTAATCTGATGAATGATATATGCCATAAGAATATTCGTTAGTCGTATTGCGTACGAAAAAAAAGATCACTAAAATGTATATTTAACTACACTTTAGATTTTTTTAGAATGGTTTAGATTTACAATTAGTTGGTTTTTTTAAAGAGGTGTGTTCAGGACAACGTCTGGCCAGTCCCCTAGTAGAAAACTAATATAATAATATAAACATAACTTAATAAAGGAAAAATCACAGATTTTAAGGATCACACTTAAAATCTTTTATAAAGGTAAGACATTTAATTTCACATCTTGTAAAGAATATTGCGTATGTATCAACTTGCGTAGAACAAGACGAAACACTAAGGTGCTATGCAAAGACATAAGAAAAGCGAAAATATATGAATTATTAGGCGCTGTCTTAATATATTGTTGCTAAGCTACTCCAATAATAAGTTATAAACAACTTTGAATACAAATTAATTAAAACTTCTAACAAAACCTTATTTACACGAACTTTGTAATAACGAACCTTACAAATTTATAGCGTGGCATTACATCGTAATATAATACGCCATAAAACATATTATATTGCTCGAACATAAAATTTTATTTACACTCAGATTAAAAAGATCAACGAAAATATATTATAGTAATTCGTTTCTTACCTAAATTTGCATTTTATGCTTTATTGTATCATCTAGGAGCTAAAGCCTTATTTTGAAATGAAATAAAGGTTAGCGGTGTGTTGTACAGGAATTTTGATAGAAAATGTCTATGGTAGTAGAAGGTAATAAGTGTGGATAATGTGCAGAGAAGAGTTGGCGCAGAAATTGTGGCCCCGCTTTGCATTGCAGCCGGACGCTCACCGCTAACCACGTGGACAACCACCGACGCTGAATCTAGTGGATAAAATAACATTTGGTTATAAAGTTTTATACTAGAACGACCTACGTTTTGGACCTTCTTCGACGTAAACCTTCTACATTAATTTCAAAGAGTAATACTAATAACACTATATTATTAACAGATCGTTGTAACTAAATACTGGTGCGAAGTTTTATAAAAGCAGAAAATTAGAAAAACGATCCTCCTTATATTAAAAAAATAATCTTTTTTTTATTTATATATAACTTACATAATAAGTTTAATTCATAGAATGAAGTTACAGATGATTTTTGCTCGGTAATAATTTTTATCAATTTTTTGTTCTTTTAGTAATAAATAAGTTTTCGTGTAAGTATTCTATCAGTAATACAAAATATACTTAGATACGTCTCAATATTAATTTATATTTTCCTATTAATATTAAAATAAGTTATATTTTGTTGTTATTCAGTTAGTGGGGTACTTTCGACACACTAATGGCACATTTGAAAATTGTACAACTAAATTTGTATAAAATATTTTTCGACACAACTGTCGTTTTCATACAAATTAAGTTTTCACTTGCTAATACAAATAATAATAAGGCATCTTGACTAAACCCTCTGTAGGTAGAAAGATTGTGTTAGTGTGCTAATTGCTCTAATATTTGCATTAACTTTGTCCTGTGTTCTATCATTGCTATCGTCGATGTATATTAATACCTATTTTTATTATCTTTATTAAGGTTGATTTTGATGCCTTGAACCAATGCTTTGAATAATTTACCAATCCATCAAATAGTAGTTCCTTCGAAGTCAGTTTTGACACCTTAAGGGTTTCGACTCTATACGCATTTGTAAGAAGTAATAAAACAAACAAAATGACACGCCAGAAAACCACAATTTATACTCCACACCCAAAATAAGAAGTGCTAATCCGCACCAAAGATTAAAGAATGTGATTCTAAATTTAAGATACCTAACTAATTAAATTTTGGTTTTCTTAAGAAAAGCTATGTAATTTTTGTTCACTATAATTAAAGTATTTTTATTTTTTGTTTATTAGAAGTTAAATCTTTATTTTTGTGTTTAATTTCATTGCTAATAAATGAATTTTGATTTATATGTGTCGTTTTAATCGCACGTACGGAACTACCCCCCACAGCGTACAAGGTACCCTCAACACTGTACGAAGGTGCCCCGTTGATGGGGTAGATTCGTACGTTTTCCAGATTTAGTTTAAATCATAATTATGGTTGAACCATCAGATGAAATCATTTGTCATTTTTCTTATATGAATCTCAGATAGTTAGACTATAAATTTAAGCTTGCAGATGATTGATTCATGGAAAAATAAAATAATAAAAAAATAAAATGTGAAAACCGTACGAAGGGTCCCGACCTTCCCTATATGTTAAAAGATTTCAATGCTTTAAGCGATGAAGAGCGTAGCTGTTTATTGTTTTCGACAAGTCTAAAAAAAATATTTAGTCCGAAACATACTGTAAATCAGTAAAGTAAAAAAAAAGTAAATATTGTCGAGTTTATTGGGCCGCTGCAATGATTATTTATCTACTAATTATTTGTCCTTGTAGATTGGTTTAATGACCTCACAATACATGTAATTGAACAAAGTCATGAACTTGAAGTCGACGGGTAATATTTGTTTTAAAGTCTCATTTTGTTTATTATGGGCGTTATTGCTTTTGATGTTTTAAATTAAGTTTATCATTATAACATTGATTAAATCTAAACAATGACAAAGTAAATATTAATAAGAGATTATTTAAGATTCATAATTGATTTAATAAACCAGCTGAACACCAACACCAGTTTGTAAGACAAATTTCCAATATATTCCTGATAAGACTAAATATATAATGTATATTTATGTATGTATGTGTGATATTCAAGTAAATTATCTACAGAAAACCCTATAGCGAATAATAAATGATGCTTATAATGTATAAAATATATAAAGTATAATTGACAAGATACATTTAAAAAAGTCTGCAGTAAAGTCTATTCATATTAGTCTACAAAGACAGTGCTTTTAAACATCTACTAGCGCACAAGTATAGAGTTCGACCTACGACATTAAGGTACAGCACTATGTATGTCAAAATCCAATACATTTTTGACGTATTTGAGTCACACTTAGCGCAAAACTCTCTTTTCTGAATCTTTCCCTAATTGAACCATGCAAGAAGTTAAAAACAGCACCGTCCTGAAATCAAAGAATAAGCAAAAGACGTCTCTAAGTTTTTATTTAATTAAACGTTCGAGGCGAGTGTTACAATATCATCCCATTCATAATTTTTATTACTCAATTTTGAGTTTGTTCAGAGCGGCTATTGCCGCAGTACTTTGTAATAACTGACACGGCAAAATTCAAATTTTGTTAAAACTTCCGCTTATATCGTATGCATTTTTAAAACAAGTGTAATTTCATAATCGTCGTATATGAAAAGCTTACGTAAGCGTACTCAACGAGATTATCCCTAAAGGATAAAATGTAAAAAGCGTTTTAGCATATTGTAATTGCATAGTGTTATTTTGCACATTTATATGGAATGTTTCATTTAGATTAATATTAAATTAATTTGTTAAAAATTTAAAATAAAGTAAGTTATTTTTTAAGGTGTCTTGGATACCTATTTTTTATAACCTTACTATCACTTATTTGTTTATATAAGTTATTGTTGAAATGGTAGTTTTTTTATTATTGCCCAAAACATCGAAGGCCTTTTTCAGGCACAGAAGTTCACGGACTAACTGATCACCTACCTATAAGAAAAAAACAAATGATAACGAAACAGATACAGAAATTTTATGTTTGAAAAATGTATGAGAAGAATTAAACAAAACAAATACAAAATAAATTTACTCCTTAAAAAGCAAGAGGGAAGACTATATACGTATAATGGAATATATCCGAGTTTGTTCTTCTTTTTATTTAAGGGTCAGCAAGTCTTGCTTACTCAGCCTTAAAACCGAGGTAATTAATTTCTCCTCAATTGTAAGTCGAGTTTGTGATGAGTGCCTCTCTTGAGGTAGAATTATTCGTCCACTATGAATATATAGGTCCTAAATAATTGCTTTTGTATGGGAGAAAAAAGGAATATTTTTAAATATAATATATTTAATTAATCAAATATAACCATTGTTTTTATATTTTGCCATCTCATAGGTATTATTGATCCCCTTTACTAAAAAAACATCACAGAATCAATAAAATTTAAGGCATTTACTCCCATAGAGTTAAATTTTTTCCCTTGCAAGAAGTTGTCCAAATTTCGAAAAATATGGTAATCTGTTGAGCAAGGTCAGTACAGGATGTCTTAACATTCCAATTGAAGCTCTTTAATTTGTAGCCTTTTTGCATTGTGGTCTACTTTCGTGAAGTACATGCTAGGATTGACCAGCCTAGGTTGTTTAGCCGCTACTTTTCCATCATGGTTTGCATTTCTGACAAAGACATCAGCTAATAGTCTGGCCAGATTTGAGAAAACTCAACATACCGCACTAGTCACCAAACGCTTACAAGTAACTTTTTTGGGTTAATTTTCGCTTGGGGATTTCTGGCAGATCAACCATTTAACTTCGATTATGTAAAGAATCCATTTTTCATCACATAATATTCGGTTTAAAATACATTCATTATTGTGCCGGTTCATAATGTAACCAGCAGTCACGCCTTTCCGGTTTGCTTCAGTCAATTCGTGAGGTACCCATCTTTCAAGCTTTTAATCTTCCCAATTTGCTTCAAGTGAATTATAACAGTTTTATCACTAACACCGCAGCTCAGCTAACTCGACGTGGTTTGCGATGGATCTGCTTCCACCAAAAGCCTTCAATACTTAATTATCAACTTGGTGTTCGGGCCGTCCACGGGCTTGTTCTGCAGGTCAAATTTCCAGAACAAAACGTGAAACAAAAACGAACTTGTTCTCTTTCAACATACCCATACACATCATTCACCCTTCGAGTCGTTTCCGCAGACTAGTCCAGAACTACTTAAATATGGATACTTTAAGTTTTCCATTTTGCAAAATAGTGACCAAACAAAAAAACAGATGAAAAAACAAATGAATGACGGATCGAAGCACAAATACATGAGTAAATAGCTGTACAAATTTTAATTTGGAATTCTTAACCAAAGAGGAGATATTTGAGGTAAGTGGCAAAACTAAAACGCAATTTCATATGTAAGGACCTAATATTATATAACAATAGAATTCATTTCTAGAATAAGTTAAAATTAACCATGTTTTTATTTTAAGTAGATATAGTATTTAGCTACCACAACCATCCAATGCTATAATGTAGCAGATACATTTCCATGTCTTATTCCAGGTACGTGATTTTAGCCTAAAAACACAATACAACTATTGTTCCGCTGTGACTCGAATTCACAGTAATGTGAACTCGTACTAAGCCAATTACTAACCAGAACTGCTAGGAGCACATGTATAGTTTCCAGAGTCACGGGGCGAAGCCCGAGCTATGAGGAGGCGACTGGTTCGAGTCCGTTGTTCAGTCTCAACACTGATGCCACCACGCTGTGCGTAGTTCACCACATTTGTCCCTCGATACCAGTATATAAAGCTAGAAAAAGTACAAATATTTTACTCTTAATAAAAAAAAATGTATTACAATGGTTTAACTGAAGCATGGATGTCATTTTTCATTACAAGGTAATCACAATTTGACAAAACTAATGAATGTGCGATGTTTAATTGTTTCTTTATAACATAATAAGCTGCAATAGGACTTTAATGAATACTTTTATAAATAATAATAATAATAATGAAAAATTGCCAATTTATATCGTAATACAGCAACTAGCAAGCATCAAGTAATATTTCTATTTTATGTTTCTATATTTTATTCGATTTTCACTTTGAGTTTTTCATATTATGTTAAAAGCCATTTAATTGTTAGGTGATTTTTTAATATTATTTTCGCCCATTGTTTTAATAGATAAGTAGTTTTAAAATAAAAGTGGTTAAAACTTTTTTGCGGAATAAGAAATTCCTGAGCTTGAATTTGTTAAACCTCTCAAAGGCCCGAAGGTATGTTAATTACAAATTACCTACGTTCTTTATTTACGGCCTTTATTTAATCTGATAAAAACGCGCTTACCTACTAAAATTTACAAATAATTATTTAGATTTAATTTACATACAACATAAAGTCAACAATCTTATTGGAAAAATTAAAGTACTTTAAGGTAAATAAAACCATAAATATAATTCAAGATTTTAGTATTTACCTAGGTGGATCTGGTGCGTGGCGTGCAATACACGTCAAGTTAATGTCGGAGCCAGCTCTCACAAACAACTCTGGACCAGACAGGATCTCCGCTTTGGATACTGCAACAACATTAAGCGTTTACGTTAGTAACTTAAGCTAACAAGCATATTTAGACTTAGCTTATGAATGATAGGTGAATTCAAAATATTGGGCTAAGAATTGAGTGAGGCGTAGAGCCTCTTAGAATTTACCAAATAAACTCAGGCAAATTCTTACGTTTCTATTCAGATTAAAAAATAAATCAGTGGCGCTACAACCTTTCTAGGTCTGGGCCTCAGTTTTCTATATCTGTTACATGAGCATTTATCAATCTAATAGGCAAGTAGGTGATCAGCCTCCAGTGCCTGACACACGCCGTCGACTTTTTAGGTGTAAGACAAGCCGGTTTCCTCACGATGTTTTCTTTCACCGTTCGAGCGTATGTTATGCGCACATAGAAAGAAAGTCCATTGGTGCATAGCCGGGGATCGAACCTACGACCTCAGGGTTGAGAGTCGAACGCTGAAATCACTTGGCCAACCATGCTCTACTACTTATATTCAGATTAGTCACATTATTTCTAACTAAATTTCAGTCTTAGAGTGTTGACGATTTATTGAAATTCTGACAGGAATGGATTTATTAAAGCGTGTAATTAACTCGTAGTATAAGATCCCGCTATACAACGACCTTCACCGAGATGCTTATTTAATGAAATTTTTTTTATATTTAATTTAATATGTCAAAAAATATACCCCGGGGGGCTTGGCAAAATTTTTTCCGGGGGGGGGTTTTTTTTTTTTAAAAAAAAATTTTTTTTTTTTTTGGGTTGGTTTTTTTTTTTTTTTTTTTTTTTTTTTTTTTTTTTTTTTTTTTGTTTTTTTTTTTTTTTTTTTTTTTTTTCCCTTTTTTTTTTTTTTTTTTTTTTTTTTTTTTTTTTTTTAAAAAAAAAAAAAATAATTATTTTTTTTATTTAAATTATCCTTTTTTTTTTTTTTTTTTTTTTTTTTGTTTGTTTTGTTTTTTTTTTTTTTTTTTTTTTTTTTTTTTTTTTTTTTTTTTTTTTTTTTTTTTTTTTTTTTTTTTTTTTTTCTTTTTTTTTTTTTTTTTTTTTTCTCTCCTCTTTTTTTTTTTTTTTTTTTTTTTTTTTATATTTTTTTTTTTTTTTTTTTTTTTTTTTTTTTCCTCCCCCCTTGGGTTTTTTTTTTTTTTTTTTTTTTCGCTCTGACGGTTAAAGAAGACATCGCAATACAACCGGCCTGACTTAACTATCGACCGTATGTAAGGTAAATTATTTACTTAATTATGATTTATGAAATAAATGCGAAAATCAGATCACGACAGTGCCGCTGAATTATTTATTTAAGTATAATTTACACATTAAATTGGGTATCTATGTGTCTACGAAAGATACGTATAAAGAATATAAATAATCTTTCGATTTATACGTATTTAATCTTCCGGTAGAAAGCTCAATAAAGTGCTACAGTTACTTGTAGTTTCAGTGTAATTAGATCTAATTGAATTTCTGAAGATTGAGAAACTCTACAATAAATGTATTTAACTGAACAGCTTAAGTTCAGATGCACTTTCGGTACTAAACTAAAACATTAATTAGAATTCGCGTGAAACATTTCCATTAAGGTGTTCTCTGAAGCTTGTGTGAGCAAGAAAGGAAACTTGTTCCTATTCGTGGTCTCAGTTCACACCTCAGTCGTATTCAACTGTCCGGGGCAAACTATTCGAGTCGAAATTAATTTCGCTTGACATGCGAGTGTCAGTTGTTTATTGAGACCGAAAATTATTGAGCACCAAACAAAAACAAAACGTATTTATTATCACTATTAAAAGCGATATTATTGGACAATTCTAAGACTAATATTTAAGTAATAGAACCCCGATGTGAATTCAATCTAAATAAACTTGACTTTGTTCTGGAACAGTACAGTTTTTATTTCCACGAGAATAACATACAAACATTACATATTAACATTAAACTCTGTAAGGTAATAAATCAATACAATAACCTCCTACCGATAAAGGCCTTATAACTTTAAGAGGTGTGTATGGTATTTCTTAAATTGAGATTGTAATGAAAATGTAATGAATATTTCTCTGAATGGATATCTGATACCATTATTATGTTTATGGTAGGGAATGTGAGTACATATATATACATATATAGTTGAAAGATGGTGGTTTATTACTAAGATACTTTTTAAATATTCTTTAGAAGATAAGCGGTTCAGTTGAGAGGTGTACTCGTAGATTGTATCCGTAAAAGGGAGAGGATTTATTACACTGAAAAATTATATTCACGACTCCATCAATATCAAATAACAGATGCTGCGAAATAGTTTTTAGCATAGACCCTCGTCATCCGGGTTCTTGGCAGGCATAATAAATTAGATATAATAAGAGCATGAGTAATTCGATAAATAGATCAACAAGTAACAATAGTTCTAAATTAAGATTATTTGTGTGTGATTTTAATATATCAAAGTTTTATGTGTGCCTTTTAAACGAAATACATCCACATCTTACTTCAAGGTTAAAATTATATCAACGAATAAACGCAAAGATCACCCCATGTCCTATTCTATGTGATGGGAGTTATAAATTTAATTTAGTTAGTTTAGTTTTTATTGATATTATACTTGAATATCTTACCAACAACAGTAAGCCAGAAAGATAGACTTATCTTAGGCTCTGTGGATACTTGGCACTCATACGCCCCGGAATCTCGGGGCTGCGCGTGCGCAACTCGCAAGGTCCACTCGTCAGAGCCATCTGTGTGAAGTGCTGCAAAGCGTGCGTCACTACTGTATGTATGCACGCCAACTGTGAGGATGTGAAGGTCTCGTTTGCGGATCCATGACACCTGGAACAAAACATGTCATATAATGCATATACTTTAATTTCCACTGGAACATAACGCAAAACGATTTTAATATTTTTTATAACTCGAAAATCGACTTAAATAATTCAAATAAATATTGGCGCGTAATCCGCAAACTGTATTTTACAAGAAAAAAAATGTTTCCGAATCCTCGTTGCAAAATGTTATTCCGAGAGTAATACTAACGAACATTTATTCAATGATTTTAATTAATCAAATCAAAACACACGATTATAGTTAATTGAAGCTGCGAAAGCTCTTCGCAAAAAGTAAAAATGTACAGTGAACTTTATTTGGCATAAAATGAAAATTGTTAATTTATACGCCAGGGGCAGCATAATGTAGGCTTCTACGTAGCAGGGGCCGTTATTAAATCTATTAATGCTTTCATTAAACCTGCTAATTTTAATGCCGCGTCGCTTCGCTTCGAACTCGGAAACTATATTGTTATATAAATTTCATTGGACTTGAAAACTTATAAATTTGATAATAAAACAATTTTTTACCGGATTGATGTTATATAAGTAGTAGTAAATACTTAACTTTAATCCGGTAAAAAATTGTTTTATTATCAAATGTGTGAAAGTTATGTCAATTAAAGGCAACTTATAAATTGCAAATATATAACTCAACTTTAAGGCTATTTTATAGATGAGAGAAATAAAAATTTGTGATGTATATTTTAAAGAGAATATGCCGATATTAGTGCATATTTAAACTGTTCCAAAGAAGTAATTTTACTTAGTTCACGGGATTAATCCAACCCATTCGCAACGAAACAAACAAAAGAAAACTAATATTACTGCAAAAATATTCGTTTAGAATCTACTGTATTTTGAATAATTTTAAGGTGGTTACAACGGAGAAAGTCAGTGATACTAAAATGAAATTTAGGATTGGAAAGACACATTTGGCAATGCATTTTCGGAAAATTTTAATTATAGTCCCATTTGTCCAAACAAACATCGGCTATAACAAATATCCATTTGCAATGTATGTGCTAAAATGTTGCAGGCATCCACTGTTCTGATTCACAATGTAAGCTAATTACTTGCAGGCCCAACCAGTATTGCAGTATTTGCCAACTGAAGCAATGTACTGTTTGTTATTAGATTTCAAAAAGGTAGAGAACGAGAAGAATATAATATAACTAAATAAGCATTTATTAAATTAATCAAAGAAAAGATTGAAAATAAAGATTTCAATCCGTCCATGCGTTGGGTTGTTTCTCTCCCTGCAATTTATGTAAGGGATGACTGCCCATGCGTCGTGCTCGTGAATGGGTGCTACTTGTGGTGACTCGTGTAAGTGGTGATATTATTTATAAGTTCAATTTTTTTCTAAATATTGACAGTTCTATGTGTGCAATATGAAAAAGTAAATTTTGTTATGGTTTCATAAAAGTCCAAAATGTATTCACAAAACCACATTTATTACGTAAACAGGTTGGCGATTGAAATTCTTATACACATATTGATTTATTGCCGCACCCAGATCAACTTAGGGACGGAGCTCAAAAAAAAAGCATTAAGGCTTTTCTAGGCATGTTCAAGGTCATTTCACACATACTCGTATATAAAAACAAATAACATATTATATAAACAAAAAACATGTAAGTGAAATGGTCCAATACTAAAACCAACGAAATTCGGTCACAAGTTTGGCAAATATTCTTATACAGAAATCCGATAATCTCTCCTTTCATGTATCGGTCGATTTCTGTCGAAGTCAGACACGTACTGACTCGCCCGATAATAAGGGTAATACACGAAGCTAAACGAAAATTAACTTATGACCTTGATATCTTTACACTGTGAAAAGTAATTTATTTGTAGCAATAATGGCTTCAAGTAGTCACGTTCATTTTATTATATAATAAACTTAGTAAACCAATACCTATAATAAACTTATTACTTAAAATGTATTTATATTTAAATGTTTAAAATCTATTGTCAAAGCACCTAAAATAAAATAAAAAGTATACAATATAAATCAGTCTATTGTAAGGGTGTATTCGATTCATCGTTGTTCTAAATGTTTAAAAAATGGTAAATCAAATCCCATGAAAATGCTAATATGTTAATAATGCTGCGTAAAACGATAAAAATATTTTTACGCTTACACCCATATCCATTAAATTTATCAAATATTTCTAAATTTTCTGCGGCATTTTAATTTTATTGCACATGAACAAAAAATAAGCTTTTCACTATACATTAAAGGCAAGGTTATAAAACGAATTCTCAGTAACTCAAATGTTTCGATTATTTTTTATTGGTCTACAATGTAGAGCTATTAATTCACCATTATTTTCAAACGACCACCGCACTTTATGACATCGTCGTTATTATTTTCACATTAGATATCATTTTAATAAATTATAATAGGGTTTACATGGACAAAAATACTGATACAAGCGAAAAGGCCACTCTTGGTCTTTGTTTATAAAATTTTAGATGCTGAGCGCAATTTTATATAGACTATAGCCTCCCTTGGTGAACTAGAACACAAAACTATTAATTATTTGATTTTAAGTTTTTTTTATTGAAGAGTAGCGCATATATTTCTGCTTTATAATATTATCGGTACATTTATATTAGGTGCACTAGTATGTTGTTAAAGTCATATTTATATATAAGTAATTGTATATTTAGTTGGTGAACTACATAAGGATATAATAAAAGAATATAAAAGTGCGGATAGTCGTGTTATAAGGCAGTTTATATTACGATGAACTACTCCGAACAAAATTCTAAAGGCATTGTTAAAGCTTCTATAATTAAAATACGACGTAAAATTGGTTTTTCTAATATATCCTTATTATAACACTAGTTTTATATTAAAAGCTATAACCCTTTAGGTCAGGGCCTCAGATTTCTGTATCTGTGCCGTGATCATTTCTAAAAGGCAAGTAGCTGATCGAACTTCTGTGCCTGACACTAGCAGTCGACTTTTTAGGTCTAATGCATGCTCGGTTTCCTCACAATGTTTTCCTTCACCGTATGAGCGAGTACATTAGTGCACAGCCGGAGATCGAACCTACGACCCCAGGGATGAGAGTCTCACCTTGAAACCAGTAGGCCAACACTGCTATTCACTGACTAGACTGAATAACTATAAACATAGTAAAACAATCAAAAAGTCCATACAAAGAGGCAATTCTTAAATATACTGAAACTTGAAATCAACACCATGTATTTAGCTAAATTATATCATCTACGTATTTTTAACAAAACATTTAAGGATTTTTTCAAGCCGATTACTCTGTTTTTGATGGAAATATGTTAGCTTGTAAGCGATGTGTTCATAAATTTTTACGGCTACAGCATGTTCGTAAAACGTATCTGAAATTGACGCGAGTAAGTTACAAAAAAAAAACGAGTTACCGCGAGTGATTGGTTTATGTACTATTTTAGTACGTAAATGTAATATAGGAAATATAACGTGTCTATTTACAATTTATTTTGTAAAGATATGACTGAGTTTTACTTATACGAGTATATTCGCGAATCTCGATTCTGGAGTGTGCGTTCGAATCCCGGGTATTCGCCATTTGAATTATTATTTTAGCTTCAGTCTATACAAGAAAAAAAACAGCTTTTTTCTTTATAATTGTAAAGTAATTACAATTTTCGGCACATATAAACAATCTTATGTAGAAATATTTGGTGTTACATACTTTTCTTAGACACACAAATTTCTAAGAATAATAAACCTTTATTTTGATGAATGAATTTAAGTCAGTCATGGGGTAACAAGTGCTAAAAATCAAATTTGTCGCCACTAAAGTAACTTTAAATTGAGCTTTCTTATCTTTAAGCAATCCAAAGCGCTACAAAACTATTTAATATGTTAAAGAAATTCACTGTTTACAAGCCGTCGGAAATATCTGCGAACCTCGCTGAATGCGCTTCCCCTGGCCCCCGCACCCCGCCCCGTTTTCGCCTATCCAGTACCGTTGCCAACGCAACCGCCGACGCCGCACTTATTATTCTTGCTTTCGTAATCGCATTTTAGTGTTTATTGTTTCTTTGTTTGGTGAAATATTACATAAACTACCTATTTAGTGCTGTATGTAAGATGGGAGGTACGAGTATCAATAAAAATAAGTACACAAATAAAATATTTTTTATTTTTACATCTTCAATTTTTTGCTATCTCTCCAGTTTGTATGACGTCATTAAGCCAGGTTCGCAGATATTTCCGACGACTGTTTATATTCGCATTTTTATTTGAATAGTCTATGTCGAATATGTAGCTTAAATAAATAAATTTTCCCTCAGGGAAATCTTCGCTGCCCTTTTCTCGTTTTGAACCAGCTTAGTCGAATTTCGCTCTCAACATCTCTTATTAATTTTGAACGCCAAAAATAACAGCTCTTACTAAGTATACGAAGTTTTGTATTGTGTAATAAATATGAAAACCAGAAATGTATCAAAAAATATATAATTACTTAAGCGATTATTTTGACACCTCTTACAAGAAAAAACAACTTAGCAAGCGAATTTTATTATTATCTCCCTCAATACATAGTATACGACGAATGTATGTAGATTGAATATAGTTGACGAACAAAATACAAATATTGACAAAGTATTTTTATTAGCGTTGACAAATATATATCACTTTTAACGCGTTCGCGCGCAACATCGCTTCACTCCGACAATACAAATCCCTACAAAGTACAGCAAAGCCTCGTCCCCAATAACTGTCGCTCTATACTTGTCACAAATGGGACAATCCCGTTATTAAGTAGGAAAAATTGTCATACAATATTTTTACAAAATGAAAATAAACAAAAATCGCCAAGGCTTGTTGGCTCCATTCCAAATGTACTTCGCGAGCTTCGACCTATTTCTATGTACTTTATTCGCGCGTCGGCGTACATACGACATTTCCTGTGCTTAGAGCGATCAGCGAATCAAATTCGCATCAACAGGGTCGTCAGCGGTCGAAACGACACGTTCCACATAACGACTGGT